GTTCCCTCCTTCCCTCCCTCCCCTTCGCATGCACTTCTCTGTACCTGACCTGGTCTTCCCTCTCCTCTCCTTCAGAGCGAAGCTGCCATGATGAGCCAGCAGCGAAGGCCGCCCGTCGGCGCGATGGGGATGCAGCCGGGGGGGCGTTACCCTCCTCTTCTCAGCTCTCCGACGTATCCGACCGCCGTCATGCCAATGAGCTCTTCCCCCCTCTACATGCGGGCCGGAAATTCCTTCGCTCCCCCCATGGAGTTCGATCCCCGGGCGAACAACTTTGTAAACTTCCTCCTCCTCCTCCTCCTGCTCCTCCTGCTCCTCCTGCTCCTCCTGCTCCTGCTCCTCCTGCTCTTGCTTCTTCTCTTTGCCGAACGTTGACGAGCTCGTAGGCCCCTCAGCCTGTTCCCCCCATGCTCCAGGACCAAGTTCCACAGCAGGAGATGGGACAAGGGGTGGAAGCACCAGCGACAGGAGCGGAGGAGGAGGTGCCTGTGCAACAGGAGCCTCTTGGAGAGCCGGAGGAGGGGGCCATGGTTGAGTCACAGGAAGGATCAGCAGCAGCAGCTGCTGCCAACGAGGATGCGGCAGCTACAGCAGAGCCGGAGGAGGAGAGGCCAGAGCAGGAGGAAGCGGGAGAGACAACGTCGTTGCAGGCGCAGGGAGCATGCTGCGATGATGAAGGAAACTGCCACAAGTGTCCTGGACCCGATGAGGCAAGAGGAGGAGGGGGGAGGAGAGGCAGGGTCAGGGGGCTGGGAGGGAGGGAAAGGAGCCGGAGGACGTTTGTGATTGGGAGGGAGGAGAAGAGCGGGAGTTCAGGAGCAGGAGCAGGAGCAGGAGCAGGAGGGAGGGAAGGAGGGAAGGAGGGTAACAAGCTTGCAGGACTACAATATGCTGGATAATCTCTTCATCTTCCCCGGGAAGGACCCGATGTGGGGCAGGAGCTTCTTGCACGTGCTGATCTCCTTGCTCGTCATCATGCTGGCGGTAAGGGCCAGCTGGGAGTCTGCTGGGCCTCTGACGGGGCGCAGGTGCTGATTGTTACCTACTTCCTCGAGAAGCGCAAGGACGAGACGGGAGAGCATCCGCTGGTAGGAGGAGGGGGGTTTAGGTGGAGAGGGAGAGGAGGGGAGGAGAGGAGGAAGGGGGAAGGAGAGGGGAGAGAAGGGAAGGGAGGAGGAGAAGGGGAGGAGGGGATGGGGATGGGGAGCAAGGGTGCTGAGGATTGAATGTGATGGTCGTGCAGGATAACTGGATCCAGAGCTTACGGGAGGCCTGGCAGACGGTAAGGAGGAGCAGAGGAGGAGGGGGGGGACGAGAACGAGGAAGGAGGGGGGGAGGGGGGAGGAAGGCGGAGGAGGGAGGAGGGGAAGTGAGTTTTTCTTCAGCTCTCCACTACATGTGCCGACTGGTGGCAGCAGACTTTCTCTAGGAACGGGACAGAGGCGCAACCGATTGTGTGAAGAGTATGACAAGTAAAAGAACAAGGAAAAAGATAAAACAAAGCTGAGAAAAGGAGCAGGGAAAGGAGGTAAGAGGAGGAGGAGGAGGCGGTGGGGAGGGGACGCTGGAGATGAAGAGAAGGGAGGCGATCAGCAGGAGGGAAGTGGAGGGGAAGGAGAAGAAGAAGGGGCAGATGAGGAGAAACGAGGGAGGGTAGAAGACAGGAAGAGGAGGAAAAGGAGATAGGAGGAGGGAGGAGGCAGAAGTGTACAACAGGCTGGAGATGTTATCCCTCTAGTACTTTCGTATCAAGGCCTCCAGGACCTTGTTGGGAATGAGTTTGGTGCCGGGGAAAGGAAGGTTGGTGACGGGCGAAGTCAAGTCCATGCTCTTGAAGCGCTTCTCTATCTCCTGCCGCTGCGATGGGTGAGACAACAGGAAGGAGGGAGAAGAGAGGAGGGCGATGAAGGTAGGGAGGGAGGGAGAAGAGGAGAGGGAGGGAGAAGAAGTGAGGAAGAGTGGGACTGGGGGAGGGAAGGAGGAGGGAGTAGGGGAAGACAAGGAGGAGGACGCGGGGAGAACCTCGTAGGTGAAGCCGTCGGACGCGATGACTGGCTCCTTGAAGATCGTCTTTGAGATCGGGCAGAGAAACTCTGCAGGGATGCGTCTGTCCTCTCCAGCTGGGGTGAGCTGCTGGGCTGAGCTGGGCATGTCCCTGCTCAGCGTCCGCATCGCCTCCAGACCCTCCTCCTCCGACAGCCAGCGCTCGAACGTGGCCCACCACTTGACCGTCGGCTTGTTCTCCTCTATCCTCAGCACCTGAGCATGCAGCGTTAAGTGCTGCTGTTGCTCCTCCTCTCTTCCCCCCTCCCCCCCACCTTTCCCTCCCCCACTGACCATGCTCCTGCTCCCGCCTCTGTCCCTGCCCCTCCTGCTTCTCCTCTCCCTCTCTGCTCCTCTCTCCCCATTCCTCGCTCATCCTCGCTCACCTGCACGAATCGGACGTACCACGCAGGGCTGAAGCCAGCCCCGTCATGGCGCAAGTGGACGGCGGTGAGGTCGCCCAGGTCGGAGGAGGAGAAGTCGAACGAGTCTGTCCTCTTGGTCTGGAAGTCGAGCTCGTTGTTCTCTAGCGCTGCGTTGAGCAGCGTGCCGTCCTTTCCTATCAAGTCCATCCGCACGTTGGCGGTGGTGCCGGAGCCCCTGGTGTGCCCTGTGGCAACGACGACGCGGTAGAGGATGCTGGGGTCTTTGTCCTTGGACAGACAGTGGCGGGCAAGCGATTGGACCTCCTCGTCTTCTTCCGTTGACCTCTGAAGAGAGAGAGAGGAGGGAGAGAGAGGAGGGAGAGGCGGGAGAGAGAGGAGGGAGGGAGAGGCGGGAGAGGAGGGAGGGAGAGGAGGAAAGTGAAGACAAACGGAGTGAGGAATGATGCAGAAAGGTAGGAGGTTGTAGAGTAGGATATGAAAAGGAAAAACATCAGAAAAATCATCCACCATCCTCTAATTCCTTCTACTCTCCTCCTTCCCTCCTCCTCCTCCTCCTCCTCCTCCTCCTCCTCCTCCTCCTCCTCCTCCTCCTCACCTGCATGACGGCACTTGCCATCGAGTGGGTCTGGGCGGTTCCCTTGAGCCACTGATTGCACTCGAACAATTTCCACCCGCTCTCCAAGATCGATCTCCGCACGAACACCCTCCTCAGGAACCAAGAGTCCGACGACCTAGGGCACAGGTTCAACCAACTAACCTTTTCATGCTCGTCCTCGTTCTCGTCCTCCTTTCTCACTCCCCAGCCTCGTCTCCTGCTCCTGCTCCTGCTCCTGCTCCTGCTCCTGCTCCTGCTCCTGCTCCTGCTCCTGCTCCTGCTCCTGCTCCTTCTTCACTCCCCACCTCATCTCCTCCTCCCCTCACCCATCCTCCTCAACTTCTCACCCATTCCTTCCCCCCCGCTCTCGCCCCATCCTCAACTTCCTTTGCCTCCACCTCATCCCTCTCCCCCCCCTTTCCCCCGGCTCCCTCCTCCTTACTGCAAGCTGTCGTGCCCGATGTGCAGCTCCAGCAGTTCCCCAAGGTCTCCGACGCGGCTCTGGATGGAGAACATCGCTATACTCCCCTGCTCAGCGAAGGGGTAGCGGTTCCACCCGGCTCGCTCCAGCTGCTTGCTCCCGATGAACCCGTCCTCTTCCAGCGCAGCCTCGAAATCCTTGGAGCCCAAGGAAGAAAGCAGCCCGTCGTCCACCTCCCTGTTGCTCGACTTGATCCTGACCTCCACGTTGACCCGCTCCACCTTGCTCCGAGCTCGTTCCACATGAAGGAGCAGTACGTCCTCCGGCTCCTTCTGCACGAACTTGGCAACGCACTTGACTAGCCGCTGCCTCCAGCTCTCCGAGAAGCTGGACAAGGACATGGTCAGCTCCATGGGCAAGACGATGAAGTTGGGCAGGACAAGGACGGCGGTCGCCTTGGGTCCCGTCAGCCACGTGATGGGCAGCTCGTGCTTGCTCCCCACCAGCGAAAACCAGACGTTTGCCGTGCTGCCGGCGCTCCGGCAGTTCCCGGAGACGACCAGGATATCGTATCCTACCGTCGATCGCTCTTCGGGCAGTGCCAGGGACAAAAGCGTCACGGCGTCTTCCTCCTCTCGCGCCGATGCTTTGCGCTGCTTCTCCTTCTCCTGCTTCTCCTCCCGCCATCATCCTCAGGAGGCCGCAGCGCCTCGTCCGCGAGCTCTCGCTCCTTCTTCACCTCCCTCAGGTCACTGACCGCCTGCGCTAGCGAGCATGCGATCCCGCAGCTCGACTCTGCTTTCCGCAGATATGCGTCCGCACGCTGGGAGGGCCATGCTCGACCGCCCTGCCCCTTCTCCGATGTCCCATGCCCCCGCCTCTGCCTCCCCCTTCCTAACTCGTTCTCCTTCTCCCCCTCCTCCTCCTCTTCTACCCTCGCACTCTCCTCCTCCTGAGCAGACGGCGGAGGGTTGTCTCCTCCGATCCTCGACCCGAAGTCTATCGTCCGCTGAGCCTTGAGGATCTGCTTATCTAGCCGGATCCTCTCCACCTTCAGTTGCTTCATCTCCTCCTCCAGCATGTCCTTGTAGCGGGTCAGCAGCAGGACGTCATCCAGCAGTGCTCCCCTCGTGTAGCCCTGGAACTCCAGGTGATCTGTGCTGACAAGCTTCTTCAGCGTCGGCGACTCCGTCATCCTCTGGAGCGCCGCTCCCTTGCTCCCTCCCCCAGCATTCTTGCGCAGGTAAGGAGAGACCTTGTCCTTCTCTGCGAAGGAGAAGTTCCCATACCGCACAGTCCTGCTCTCCTTGTCCATGGCCGTCATCCTCCTCCCCAGCTTCGCCATCTTGAGCTTGTCAGCGTCAATCGCCGCCCTGGCATCTTTGTTCTTCAGCTCTAGGGCGATGCAGCTAGAGCAAGGGGCCGAGGTCAGCAAACTCCATGCAGAGA